TCCAAAAAAACTATACAAATCACTCTTATCTTATAATATTGATTATAACTTATATACACTTGGATATAGATTTCATTCTCTTTAAGATTCACTTTCAATTACTAGCCTATTATCATTTCTATTTGTTACCAGAATAGAATTTGATCAAATGATAGTTTCTGATACTTTACTTAGATATATTATTCGCAAAATGTTAACTTATCAAGTTATTATTTTTCATCAAATAATTCCATAAGATTTTTAAAATCAAAAAAAAGTATCCTTTTTGTACTATTAGTATTACTCTTTTCTTGGGTTCTAATATTTAAATTCACCATAATTTAACTTAAACGATTTATACTACTTTTCTAATTAAAATTAGATTCATTCATAAAAGAATTACATTTTCAGTATAATAAATAAAGTTATTTTAATAGAATAAGAACATGGTCTAAATTTTTCAATTCTTTCTAGAAATAGAAAAATAAAACTCCAGAAGGCAAATAATAAATTGAGATTTCACAAATGAATAAGATTTAGAAAAATACATTATACTCATTATTTCAATTAATAAACAATTTTTACATATCATAAAATTTATGCAGATATATATTGAAGTTGTAAATTTTTAATTTACGTTATAATATTCAATTTTTAATTGTGTTTTATAAAATTTATAGTTAGCTTTCCAAAATGTAGCTTCCTCGTTATTACAATAATTATCTTAAATCTATCCCTTAATGATTTACAAATTCTCCTTTAAAAATTAAAGCTCTTTATGCTTATAAGTTGGGATATTAGGAAATAACAAGAATAGTTAAATTTGAATTTACTAAATAAAGATAAAATGAATACCACCTTCTTCTGAAAAATAATTATTTTAAAGTAAGGATTAGAACAATGTAGCTTTATCATTGTAAATTTAATCCGAAGTTTAAATTTATTTTCCAGTCTTAACATTCCATAAACAGATAATGTTATCACTACTAGTAGATGTTAATTTAGTACCATCTGGAGAGAAGTACAGTGATTAGACTGTATTACTCTAACCATCTAATTTTATTTGTTATTTTCCTGTCTTAACATCCCATATACGGATAGAATTATCCCTACTGCCAGATGCTAATGTACTACCGTCAGGAGAGAAACAGAGCGAATAGACTGTATTACTATGACCTTCTAATTTTGATTTTTATTTTCCTGTCTAGACATCCCATATACAGATAGTATTATCATCATTACAACATGCTAATTTAGTATAATCACGAGAGTAGCATATGGATGGGACATAATCAATTTTACCATCTAATTTAAAATTTTATTTTTCTGTCTTAATATCCCATAAACGGATAGAATTATCCCTACTGCCAGATGCTAATGTACTACCGTCAGGAGAGAAACAGAGTGAATAGACTGTATTACTATGACCTTCTAATTTTGATTTTTATTTTCCTGTCTAGATATCCCACAATCGGATAGAATTATCCCGGCTACCAGATGCTAATATAGTACCATCAGGAGATAAACTTAATGAATAGATTGTATTACTATGACCATCTAATTTATATTTTTATTTTCCTGTTTAAACATCCCATATAAGGATAGATTTATCATCACTACTAGAGGCTAATATAGAACCATCTGGAGTAAAGCAAACTTATCGGACATAATCACTATGTCCATCTAATCTTAATTTTTATTGCCATATCTTCACATCCCATAAAAAAATAGATTTATCATCACTACAAGACGCTAATATAGAACCATCAGGAGAGAAACACACCGATTGAACCCAATCCTTATGACCATCTAATTTCAATTTTTATTTTCCAGTTTTGACATTCCATAAACGGATAGAATTATCCCTGCTACCAGATGCTAAAGTAGTACCATCAGGAGAAAAGCAGACTGAACTAACCTAATCATCATTCTCATTTAATTTCCATTTTTATTTTCCTGTTTAAATATCCCATATACTGATGGAGAAATCACTACTACCAGATGCTAATATAGTACCATCAGGAGAGAAACAAACTGATAGGACCTAATTAGTATGACCTTCTAATTTCAATTATAATTTTCCAGTCTTAACATCCCATAAACTGATTGTGAAATCACTACTACCAGATGCTATTGTATCACCATCGCGAGAGAAACAAACCGATCGAACGTGACTAATATGACCATCTAATTGTTATTTAGCTTGGCCAGTCTTAACATCCCATAAACGGATAGAGAAATCACTGCTGCCAGATGCTAATAGAGAACTATCAGGAGAGAAGCATACAGATTGAACAAAATTACTATGGCCATCAAATTTAGATTTTTATTGTCCTGTCTTAATATCCCATAAACGGATAGAATTATCCAAACTACCAGATGCTAATGTAGTACCATCAGAAGAGAAGCAGACTGATTAGACCCTATTACTATGACCATCAAATTTAATAAATGATTGCCCTGTCTTAACATCCCATAGTCGGATAGTTTAATCCCTACTACCAGATGCTAAAGTACTACCATTAGGAGAAAAACATAGAGAATGGACAGCATTACTATGACCATTTAATATCGATTTTTGTTTTCCTGTGAAAACATTCCATAAACAGATGGAGGAGTCACTACTACCAGATGCTAATGTGATGCCGTCAGGAGAAAAGCAAACTGATAGTACATAGTTACTATGACCCTCTAATTTCACTTTTTATTGTCCTGTCTATACATCCCATAAACGAATAGACTTATCATCACTGCCAGATGCTAATGTTTTACCATCAGGAGAAAAGGACACCGAGTTGACTTCCTAATCATGGCCTTTTAATATACATTTTTATTGACTTGTCTTAACATCTAAAAAACAAATCGAATAATCGCTACTACCTGAAGCTAATATAGTACCATCAGGAGAAAAGCATACTGATAATACATAGTTACTATGAATATCAAATTTCACTTTCTATTGACCTGTCTTTACATCCCATAAACGGATCGATTTATCCCTGCTACCAGATGCTAATGTATTACCATCTGGAGAGAAGCATAATGAATAGACAGTATTATTATGACCATCTAATTTATGTAACTCATGTATTCTCAAATTTTTCCATTTACAATTAAATAATTAAGCTTCATTCAAGTTTATTCCACTTATATCGACATTTTCTAATTCAGATCCGTTTAAATTGCATCTTACAAGATTCGCTCCAACTAAAGAAGTGTTTTTAATCTTTATATTTTCAAAACATATTTTCTTCAATTCAACCTTCATTTAAACTAATAAATTAAGTGAATTTGACCCGCATTATATTAATTTACTGTCCATAGCTGTGAGTTGAACTAAAAATTTCAAAAATTCGATAATTTTATTTTCTTATTATATTTTTTGAATTAGAACTCCTGTAGTTTGTAAGTAAATTTAAGAGGAATAGTCTTCTTTATTAAAGTTATGTTAACTAATATATTTGATAACCTTTGCAATTTTCAGAATGCTATTTTATAAATCATTCATATTTATATTATTATCGATATATTGATAATAAAGTTTTTAAGAATCCATATTGGAAAGAAATTCTAGACAATCTGAAATTTTCTCTTTTTTAAGCATATCTATTATCCCTTTGAAAAGTTTTCCATCGATATCTTTTGTGTGGGTTAACAACTCATACAGATCTTCTTTCCCTTCATCGAAATCTTCTTCATGTTAATTTTATTAAACTCTTGAATAGGTTAAATACTTACTTATATATTGACACAATTTTTTTCTTCAACTTTTCATTAAAATCCTTAATTTCTTGACCCCACCAATTCTTCACTTCTTCCAACTTTAACAGATAAGAATTTTTCTAAGCCTTCCATTTATTTAATGTATTTCCTCCTATAATCTGTACTAATTTCTCTAAGTCTGCATATGACGCTTGTGCTGGATTGATATTGTCATTAATGATTTTCAAATATGATTTATCCTTCATCTCAATCATATCATATATTTATGATATTTATAGCGATAATTCTTCCAAAATTTTCTTAATGTGACTTTCAGTTTGAGTGAGCACTGATTTGAAATTCATTCTCTATTTTTTTAATTCATTTTTTTAATCATGCTCTGCTTCTTCTAATTTAGTGACAACCATTTCTCGAAATTTTTTAATTGAAACTATAAATTTAATGTCCTATCCATGTTCATCAACGCATTCAGCACAAAGTTTCCTTTAGCTTTTACATTTATGAGGAGCTATACATATCTAAGTAATAGGATTTGGAAAATGATCAGCACAATTCATTACCTTTTAAATATAATTTTGAATATCTATTATTAATTTTTCAAGCTTTATACTATAAATCAATAAGATCTTATTCATTTTTGTTAAGAAGAAACAAGAATTTCTAAAGATTTAGTATTGATTATGATTGCGGTCATATCAGTTATTGGGAAATCAAATAAACTTTTACAAGTCTTTTTTTTAAGAAAATTGAATAAATAACTATACTGTGAAAATTGAATCTACTAAAAATAATTAATTTGATTTCTCTCCAAATTTCTTAGTAACCAAATATTTTTCTTTCCTTTTTAATCCTACCGCTTTCTAATTTTCATTTTTTTTTTAGGTTTGAATTTTCAATGATCGAACTTTTAACTATAATAATAAATATTTAATAATTTAGAGAAATTATTTATAAATTATTCCTATACATTAAAAATAGTGTATTTTTTGGTTTGGCTAACCATTTGAATTTAGTACTTTATTTTCTCTCCAAATTAATTAACATACTTCTAATAAGGATTGGTATCATAGCTAAGTCTTCTAAAACTTCCTTTATTGTATCATTATTATTTAGTATAATAATTATAGTTTTACTCACAACTATGGTTTTCTATCATTATTGTTTAAAAAAAAAATGATGGTATTTGATTCTCAAAAATGAAATTTGATTTAATATAAAGAAAGTTTAAAAAAGAATAATGATTAAATTAAGTAGAATTAAATTTAAAATAAGTAAAAAGCATATAAAACGAATTTTGTGTTATAATTAAAAATGAGTAAAACCTATTAAGAGACTTTTGCTAAAAGAGGGAATGAACCATTAGTAAAATTTAAGTTCGTTTATAGGGTGGTTAAATCACATAGGTTTAATATTATTTCTCAATTAACTTATACTATTGTGGATGGAAATATTTAAAAAAATTGGAATATATAAAGATATCAAATGGTATTTGTTAGTGTCCTCATTTTGGGCTCAGTAAACTATTTAGGATAGTTTGAGTTGTTATTAGAATTAATATCAATGAAAATAATGTTTCTTAAAAATATACAAGATCGTTATTTAATTCCCTTTAAAGTGACAAATATTAAGCGAGCATACTCTTTTATCTATATTTGCCATCTTCTAAACCATTAAATTATATAATTTTATTAAGTAATATTGATTTAATGATATTATTGTGTTATTAAAAATGATCTTAGACAATTAATCTAAATGTATGCCTTTATCAAAATAATATATATAGAGTGGATAGAAAACAAAAAAAATACTCATTATACCAATAGAGATGATGATAAATTTATAAAATGAGCATTCTATAAATCATTCATATTATCAAAATAAATTTTTATTTAATTGAATGTTAATAAAAAAAAGAAATAATTTGAAATTGGCAATTCCTAATTAAAAGATATTAGAGAATATATTAAAAATAAGTATATGATAAAACAAAATATAACCAATTCAGCTTAATTGAGGAGAAGTTTTGAACTCTAACTTCTCAAAAAAAAATTATGATGAAGAAAATGTTCGATTTGTTAAAGATTCAATTAAATTCTATTTATGTAATGATTGAGAGAAAAAGATAACCTAATATAACTTTTGTATAAGAAAACAACCACTAATTATCTTACACAGAGTTAGAGCAAATTGTTTAATAAGAAGGTTGGGACAACAAAAAAGAAATTTTAGTATTGGAAATAGGATTTTAGCAAAAAATTTAATATTAAATGATGTGCATTTTTTTGTAATTAAGAAAACAATTTATCAATATTTTCAAAAGGAAAGAAAAATTAACAAAGAAAGTGGAGAATATTTCATTTAAATTAATTTTTTCTATATTTATTTACTGCTAATAAAGGTATGGTTAAATATTTAAATAAATAAATTTCATATATAAAAAGTTTAGAATTGTTATTTCAAATCTCATCAAGTAGTCTAGAGGGAAGACGCTGTGCTGAAGTCGCAGAGATCCGAGTTCAAGTCTTCGGGTTGGTGAATTTTTTATTAAATTAATTTTATTTTTTATTAATTATTTTGTTAAAATTTTGTCTATGGAAAATGTTTCTAACTTATTATTTTGTCATAGTGGAAGAATGTAAAATGATGTGAAATTAATTCACTCTTTTTTATATAAATTTTAATTTCAATAATATAGGAGTACTTTTGCTTTTTGAAAAAAAATAGATATTTGTGATCATAGATACTACATATTTTTTGGAAATCTATGATTAGTTAAACCTTATTAATAGGACACTGAAACTTGGAAGATTTTTTATAGGAAATAAAAAACAACAAATGAGAACAGATGATAAAACATTGTCGTTTGCTTTAAAGAAAAAAAAGTTCAATAATTTAACATAATAATAATTTCTTTTTGAAATTTTCTCCATTATGATAAAGAAATCAGTTTATCGAGAAAAATTATATTTTTTAGAAACAAATAATTCAATATTGCTACTCATTTCTCAACATGGACTTTTGCTTACTCTAATTAAAAAAAAATGATGCTCTTAAAATATGAATAATTATTTCTTTGGATACTTAATGGATCATTTAAATTTTACTCCTATTCAATGTTACAATCATAAAGATGTAGATTCATAGGCCTAATGCTAGATAAAGACTTGCAATATGGCAGAAGGGTAAGAAATGATAATCAATGTCAAATATTTTTATTGAGATCCATTATAGACTACTTATGAATCTTATTATGGAGATGAATTATTTTATGAATAAGAAATTTTGGGGACAAATTTATAGCATATTCAAACTTGGAAATAAATTAATTCTTTAAAGTTCTTTTTTGATGACTCAAAATTTATTTATTAAACTAGCATAACATGTTAAGATTAATCAGGAACTTAAGAAACTTATCCATTTTATTTTGGAAGAATTTAAATCTATAATAAATAGACTTAGCATAAAAACCAAATGGCATTAATATCGTGGCTGGAACAAAATTAATTTGATCCACTAGGGATTATCTTTAAAAAATATGGACAAACTTCTAATTATTCTTAATTCATTCAAGAAATGTAAGACTACAGGAAATGAAACAAGCATATTTGGTTGGATCAATTTATTATGCTTTCAGTGATTGATAGTATTCTATTCCAATAAATCTAATAACTAATCAATAAAAGTACAATTACTTTACATAATTTCAAAATGATATAGGAATAAATTGAAGAAAAATTAATTAATTCCCATGATGTAAAAACTTGCAATGACTTCTTGTGATTTATTGGCATATGCTAATAGAGTAAGATTACTTAATACTATGTTACCTCTAAATAGTTTCTTTTTTTTATTAATTACCTCCTTTCTATACTTATACTTAAAAATTGTATGTCTGTTTTAGTATGATAATTTTAGGTATTTATTTTACCAAAAATCTTGTCCTTATGTTGATGGAGCGCAAGTATTTCGACATTAATAATGCCCAAAGATTGCAATGATCATCTTACTGGTTGTCTCTATCTCCAACAAGAATGCTATTCTTAATTTATTTCATGTGATGAATTACTATTCCCATTTAAATTCACATCTGATTCTATGAAATTTCTGTTTTGTAACAGTTTGATAAGAATGGATATAAAGATAGTTCTTATAGTGATTGTACTTAGATTGTATCCATTCCCTCATTTTTGTATAAACAATTAATAAATTTTGATACATTTTTCTAGCTCAAATAGAGAATATATCAAAACTAACTAATTTATTAATGTTAATATTCATTATAGCAAAAACAAGAAATTGTGATGTTATACCAACACCTCTCGATTAAAAATGATTGTGATCATCATATCAATCGTTGGATATTTAAAATTGGAAAATCTAGATCATCAGCTGATTTGATGATGGATTGATATTTCTAAGTTTCAATTCTCAAGATATAATTGAATTATTCACTAACAATATCAAATAATTACGAAAAAATAATCTATTATATCTACATCAAATGTAGTTATATTAAAGAAAAACAGCTATTTGCTCAATTAAAAAGACTATCGTAAAATTTTAATGTAGATAAAAGGAAACTAAAGAACATTACAATAAATTGAATCGTTCAGATGAATGTTCAAATGCAATTTATGCAAATTTCAATAAGATTGTGATACTTTGGTATTTTAGAATATATGCAAATATTTGTTATGAACTTGTTATCGTTTGAGAAAACTTATAGTCAAATACCAGATTTGAAATAACACTCACAATTTGATTTTGAATAACTTATAAAAAATAACATTAAATGCATATATATAAATAGGAAGTGATTATTTTATCAATGTATAGTATTATTTCTTTAATAATCAGAATGATTTTATTATCATATTAATTATAAAGAATACTAATATTGATAATAAAGTAAAAACCTGATGTCAATATTATTTTTATTAAATAAGTTAACACAAATGGAAGATGAACATAACAAAAAATAAAAATGTTATTTTCTTATGCAATTACATTTCAATTTATTAAAATAGCTAAATTTGGATGTAAATTTACAATTTCTTTCTTAAATAATAATTTATGACTACGCAATTAATTGTTTAATATTCATTAGAGCTGCATTATCATTGTGAAATAGAAAAGAATAAAGGGTTCATCATAAGGTTTAGAAATTATATAATGTTGAAATGTAAAATTCAATTATAAATAATTGTTGGTTAAAGAAGAAAACTAAAGTAGTTAATGTTTTGGGATTTTTTATTAAAATTAAAAATGTTAACAAATAAGAAATGTTCTCAATATTAAGAAATAGCAGATAGCTATCAATAATAATAGAAATATAGATAAAAACAATTATATAATTAAGTGATAGTCTTTTTTAAATTAATAAGGAAAAGAGAAATTTTAATCTGATGATTTAAGTGATCATAGATCTTGTTACNATAGACTTAGCATAAAAACCAAATGGCATTAATATCGTGGCTGGAACAAAATTAATTTGATCCACTAGGGATTATCTTTAAAAAATATGGACAAACTTCTAATTATTCTTAATTCATTCAAGAAATGTAAGACTACAGGAAATGAAACAAGCATATTTGGTTGGATCAATTTATTATGCTTTCAGTGATTGATAGTATTCTATTCCAATAAATCTAATAACTAATCAATAAAAGTACAATTACTTTACATAATTTCAAAATGATATAGGAATAAATTGAAGAAAAATTAATTAATTCCCATGATGTAAAAACTTGCAATGACTTCTTGTGATTTATTGGCATATGCTAATAGAGTAAGATTACTTAATACTATGTTACCTCTAAATAGTTTCTTTTTTTTATTAATTACCTCCTTTCTATACTTATACTTAAAAATTGTATGTCTGTTTTAGTATGATAATTTTAGGTATTTATTTTACCAAAAATCTTGTCCTTATGTTGATGGAGCGCAAGTATTTCGACATTAATAATGCCCAAAGATTGCAATGATCATCTTACTGGTTGTCTCTATCTCCAACAAGAATGCTATTCTTAATTTATTTCATGTGATGAATTACTATTCCCATTTAAATTCACATCTGATTCTATGAAATTTCTGTTTTGTAACAGTTTGATAAGAATGGATATAAAGATAGTTCTTATAGTGATTGTACTTAGATTGTATCCATTCCCTCATTTTTGTATAAACAATTAATAAATTTTGATACATTTTTCTAGCTCAAATAGAGAATATATCAAAACTAACTAATTTATTAATGTTAATATTCATTATAGCAAAAACAAGAAATTGTGATGTTATACCAACACCTCTCGATTAAAAATGATTGTGATCATCATATCAATCGTTGGATATTTAAAATTGGAAAATCTAGATCATCAGCTGATTTGATGATGGATTGATATTTCTAAGTTTCAATTCTCAAGATATAATTGAATTATTCACTAACAATATCAAATAATTACGAAAAAATAATCTATTATATCTACATCAAATGTAGTTATATTAAAGAAAAACAGCTATTTGCTCAATTAAAAAGACTATCGTAAAATTTTAATGTAGATAAAAGGAAACTAAAGAACATTACAATAAATTGAATCGTTCAGATGAATGTTCAAATGCAATTTATGCAAATTTCAATAAGATTGTGATACTTTGGTATTTTAGAATATATGCAAATATTTGTTATGAACTTGTTATCGTTTGAGAAAACTTATAGTCAAATACCAGATTTGAAATAACACTCACAATTTGATTTTGAATAACTTATAAAAAATAACATTAAATGCATATATATAAATAGGAAGTGATTATTTTATCAATGTATAGTATTATTTCTTTAATAATCAGAATGATTTTATTATCATATTAATTATAAAGAATACTAATATTGATAATAAAGTAAAAACCTGATGTCAATATTATTTTTATTAAATAAGTTAACACAAATGGAAGATGAACATAACAAAAAATAAAAATGTTATTTTCTTATGCAATTACATTTCAATTTATTAAAATAGCTAAATTTGGATGTAAATTTACAATTTCTTTCTTAAATAATAATTTATGACTACGCAATTAATTGTTTAATATTCATTAGAGCTGCATTATCATTGTGAAATAGAAAAGAATAAAGGGTTCATCATAAGGTTTAGAAATTATATAATGTTGAAATGTAAAATTCAATTATAAATAATTGTTGGTTAAAGAAGAAAACTAAAGTAGTTAATGTTTTGGGATTTTTTATTAAAATTAAAAATGTTAACAAATAAGAAATGTTCTCAATATTAAGAAATAGCAGATAGCTATCAATAATAATAGAAATATAGATAAAAACAATTATATAATTAAGTGATAGTCTTTTTTAAATTAATAAGGAAAAGAGAAATTTTAATCTGATGATTTAAGTGATCATAGATCTTGTTACCAATCCAAGTTTATGATAATATCAATACTTCAACTGTTACTGAATGCATTGAGTTCATGCATGGATGTTACCAAAGTATTTAGATTTAGTTATAAGTACATTTATAAAATAAATATACACCAAATACTCTTATCAAATAGTTGATAAATAATGAATATATATTTACAGTTTGGAATATTAATCAAATCAATCATGTAGAAAATTTATTAGGAATGTTCATATTTAAATAAAAAATGGATAACAAAAGGAGAAGGATGTATTTAATAATCAACTTTATGTACAAAATATCTAGCATATTAAGCTATTTGCTAAAAGTTGAAAAGAAATTAATGGTTAGTGCTATAATATTTCACCTTAAGAGCATCAATTTTATATATGATGAATTAAAGTGTATTAATTACAGAATGAAATGTTCTGAATTTAAAAGTAATCATATTACTTATTCCATATTTATAGCTATTCATGGACCATACAAAGCAACACTGATGAATGAAATCACAATTAGTAGTTATAAAACTCTTTTATGAAATGAAACATCTAACAAATTAAAACCTAATTAAGAATGTTAGATATATAATATTGATGAATATCAATTAAATAATGTTATAAATATGATCATTTATTCTGCTAAGTAAAGAAAAAAAGAATGTGCATGGACTCATTTTTTTAATTGATAATTTAACAATTAAGATACTAGCTACTCTATTTTTGAATTCAAGAATATCAAATTAAACATGTGCATTCACTGAAAACTTTAGTTAATTTCGCTCTACAACTTGTGATGATTTACTTAAATTATATTACATCTCATACTTTATGTAACTAATTGAATCACAATGAATAACTAATGAAATTGATTATATTATTTTTGGTTAATGTTCTATTCACAGAACTGCTTATATTGGCCTTAATACTTAAGGAGTAAAAATATGTATTTTGGATTAAAGAGATAAATTTAATAGAGGTATCAAATGTTCTAATTTCTATAGTCGAACTAATCTTGATTGCAAATAAAAATTGAGTGAATGTATAACTAATAGTAATATTTGTATCTTAGGAGACCCTTGTGATGAATATACTTACTTAAATTACTGTATTCAATCTAAAAATTAACTCTGTTTATGGATTTAGAATTCATGTATTAATTATTCTAAATGTAAAGATGCTAAATTAAAAACCTTTTATGAATCTCAAATAGTCGCACCTTTTTGTACATCAAATATATAAAATATATATCACTTACTTTTTGTGCTCAATATGAAAATATGGAAACCTGTGTATTTAGTTGGGATAAATTATGGGAATGAAATGAAAAATGTAAATCCTTTAAAATCTCCTGATAATAATTTTTGTAGATTAAATCATAATGTTTGTATATCTGATGGATATAAATGTATTTAAGTAGTTTAAAAATGTATCTAACAACCTATGCATGGATTAATCAATTGAAGGAAGTAGGATTTAAATAGCAAAGACCTGCGAATCAATATAAAACACATTTTAAATGTTAAAAAGCAAAAAGTTACTGTAAAGCCAATCGAACTACTTAATTTTCTTTTTAAAAAGGCTCTAAAAATTGTGAAAATTTATGTTTATATGCATTTTTTAGTTCTCCATTCTAATCAATGATAGGAAAGATGCTTACCATATAACAATAATCAAAGCTGCTAAAATATCTTTGCAGGTAAATAATGTCTTTCCTATTGTACTCATTGTATTGCTAAAGCATAATGTTATACTTATTAAACTCTTATAGCTTTCTAAGATGGAGGCATTAGTAAANATTCACTGAAAACTTTAGTTAATTTCGCTCTACAACTTGTGATGATTTACTTAAATTATATTACATCTCATACTTTATGTAACTAATTGAATCACAATGAACAACTAATGAAATTGATTATATTATTTTTGGTTAATGTTCTATTCACAGAACTGCTTATATTGGCCTTAATACTTAAGGAGTAAAAATATGTATTTTGGATTAAAGAGATAAATTTAATAGAGGTATCAAATGTTCTAATTTCTATAGTCGAACTAATCTTGATTGCAAATAAAAATTGAGTGAATGTATAACTAATAGTAATATTTGTATCTTAGGAGACCCTTGTGATGAATATACTTACTTAAATTACTGTATTCAATCTAAAAATTAACTCTGTTTATGGATTTAGAATTCATGTATTAATTATTCTAAATGTAAAGATGCTAAATTAAAAACCTTTTATGAATCTCAAATAGTCGCACCTTTTTGTACATCAAATATATAAAATATATATCACTTACTTTTTGTGCTCAATATGAAAATATGGAAACCTGTGTATTTAGTTGGGATAAATTATGGGAATGAAATGAAAAATGTAAATCCTTTAAAATCTCCTGATAATAATTTTTGTAGATTAAATCATAATGTTTGTATATCTGATGGATATAAATGTATTTAAGTAGTTTAAAAATGTATCTAACAACCTATGCATGGATTAATCAATTGAAGGAAGTAGGATTTAAATAGCAAAGACCTGCGAATCAATATAAAACACATTTTAAATGTTAAAAAGCAAAAAGTTACTGTAAAGCCAATCGAACTACTTAATTTTCTTTTTAAAAAGGCTCTAAAAATTGTGAAAATTTATGTTTATATGCATTTTTTAGTTCTCCATTCTAATCAATGATAGGAAAGATGCTTACCATATAACAATAATCAAAGCTGCTAAAATATCTTTGCAGGTAAATAATGTCTTTCCTATTGTACTCATTGTATTGCTAAAGCATAATGTTATACTTATTAAACTCTTATAGCTTTCTAAGATGGAGGCATTAGTAAAAATTCAATCCTTTTTACATTCATGCATAAAAAAAACAGAAAAAGATGAATTTATATGTAAAATTAATCCTAATTATTATTGCAATGTAAATAAATGTATTGATTAAACTTATTAACCTTTTTGATCTGGTTACCAAATACCATGTTTCGATGGTACTAAACATAATAAATAGAAAAAAACTCATAAGATTAGAAACCAATTATTTTATGGATAAATCGTGTTTTTCTCAAATTATCAATATTTAAATCCTATTATTTCAGAATTTGAATATTTAGTCTTTTGAATTTTGTATTCGGCTAGATTTGTTTCTCTTTTATATGATAAGCAATTCATTACTTTGATTCACTAAATTAAAAAGTTTATAATTTTTTGAAGATTCAAAACTTAGACAATTATTCTCATTTTTTTATTGCTGTGCTAATTACCCATTCACTTATCCAGAGAATCTCATTTAGATTTCTTCTATCTAACCCTTATCATTAGATTTAATACATATTAAAAATTATTTAGGCTGCTATTATTATTATTTTTAGGTAATCTTATACTTTTCATATGATGACTACTAAAAAATTAACTTGCTTTTAGTTGAATTCTTTAACTATTATTCAATAAAATACTAAAATGAAGATAATATATTGTTGAGAAAGAAGAGTATTAAAATAAAAACTTAATTTATGCTGGTGATTACTTCTAATTTAATAACTCATTGTTCCTGATATTTTCTGATCTGAATTTCTTTTGATTGAATATCCCAAGTTATCAAATACTGTCCATCATCAGTCATCTACCCAAAAATATAATATGTTCCAAACTCAATAGATTCCTCAATCATAAACTCTCCATTTTATTTCTTCCTTATTAAACTTACATTTGAACCATTCTTATTGACAAGCATACATTTTGATTTTATATATTATGAAGCAAAGAAAAAATTATCAATACCACTTTTTACAGGAATATCCTTTATTTTAGTATACTATTTATTAGTATTATTCATCTCAAAAACATTTATGTACTATCTACTATTAGGATAGAATGTGAATGTATTATTATCAATAAAGCATAATCTATATCCTAATTGTTCTACTGTAATCTTTTATATTACAATCCATTATTTATTCAATTCCGGTTGTTCAATTATTAATATACAATTATCTTGTCCACAAGATATCAATATATTCTATTATTCATTGAAACTTAATCCTAATACAGGATTTGTATGATGTGTTATTGTCTAAGAGCACAACCATCCATTTTACTTCTACCAGAATTTAATCTTAGAATCCTAACTGCCAGATACAATATAATCCTCATTATTATTTAATAACAAACAATAGATACCATAAGTATGTCCATTCAATATCTATTGGCAAATCCATGAATTATTTTAATTTCTTGCCCATATTATCATTGAACTATCTTAACTACCAGATATAAAATGATCTGATCTCTACATGAAATTTAAAGTATGTACAGAACTCAAATGTTCACTTAATATTTAAACTTATCTTAAGATTCCTTATATAAATTCAAATACTTTAATTTAACTATTACATCCAGCAATTAATATTGAACAATCTTTATTAACAGCAATTGCATAACACCATTAATCTAATTTAATTGAATTTTGTTTAATTAATTCATAAGTAAAGGGTTTGAGATTTGATTGAGTAGCTACAAGTGAGGATGATTATTCAATAGTTTATGAATTAATCTAAGAATCATTTTATTTGATTTAATGTTCCAATTATGTTTAATTTTGTTTAATTAATTCTTGATATTATTGTTCTTTCTTTTAAACTTGATGTTGAATATTAATTTTGATTAAAGATGTCACTTCTTCACAGATTTATTTTTGGAAATTGTCATCTTAAAATTTATGTAAAATATTTGAATTGACATTTGGTAATTCTTATTATTATTATTTTTAAGATGTTATTACATTAATCCAATTACACTCCTTATTAAGAAGTTCATCAAGTTTGGCATCAATATTCTTAAATGAGTTCTATTTACATTTATAAAATAATATATATACTTCTATTGCTTATTACGCATTTTCTATGCATTCATTCACTTTTCTTTCGTATTCTTTTCTTATAATTGACTCAGAGACTGCTTACATTTCTATATTTTAAGATATTTTATTAAATAATTTCTATTTCTATTAAAAATGCTTATATGAAAACTTTTGTATAAATTTATCAATAATTATTTACTACGATTCAAAAATTTGATTTAAAGTAACAAAAGAGATATAAAGTCTTGTATATCTAGAAGGATATCTAAACAAGCATTTTCAAAATTAATGATTAAGATCTTGTTTGTAAGTTATTTTTTGATTTTATGGGATCTTTTATTCTATTCATTTGAAAAATTAATGAGAATTTTTCTTTTATATCTTAACCTACAGACATATCGGTAAAAACGATATCATTAAAAAGAAATAAAAAAAATTATTGCAAAAACTTATAATAGGATGAATAATCCTGTTATAATCTAATATTATAAATTTATCTCTTTGAAAATTATCTTAATAATAATAATCATTTTACTGTTAGTCAAAGAAATTTTTTCTGGTAATTTTAATATTTTCTTATTATCCTCATACCATATTAAAGATTAGTATAAATTATTTAATGAGAATTAGATTTTGGTGGATTTTACCATAATTAATAAAAGAATTGTTTTACCTTTGATTGAATTTAGTACTTCAGATGTTCTTGAATTATTTTCTAACATAATTTTACGAGAATGCTTTTAATCTACATCATTTTGATAGCATTTAATTTATCTATAATAAATCAAATTAATGATGAATGTAAACAGATGCAAATAATAAAGCTTAAGTACTCAATTTTTTATCTGCTTGACATGTTAAAAGAATTTTAATTAATATGAAACATTCACATTAAAAATGAAGTTTTTAATATTTATTTGAACTTTTGGCACAATTGAAGCCAATTTTAATGTATAAAATATCAAAGTTATTTGGTTAAGATTATATATAAAAGAATATTAGCATTGATTTATTTTTACCGATAATAAAAGGTACAATCACAATAATTCAGCTGCATAATTTTTTAATCACACAAAATCTAAAATAAAGATATTTAGTACAACAATAACTATGCTTGTTCAATTCTTCAGCATTTAGGGCTGCATCTATAAATTATGATATTTCAACAAGTAGAATATTTAATCTCTTAGAATTGGAGGGAGATTCTTGATTTAGTTTAGGCTTGATTCTTTTTTTACGTTTCTTTAGAAGTCAGCCTAACCATTTAATATTTTAATTATTTTTAATTATCAAGACTCAAATTTAATTGTATTATGATATGTTATGTTTACTATAAACTTTATTGTGTATGGTTACTAAATTTAAGTGAAAGAAGAGTAAAAAATATTAGTAAACTGTTTCCACAGTTTATGAGTTGTTGAGAACCAATTATTTGATTTATAATTAAGATATCTCTATCCTAAAAAAAAAATTAAATTTTTGATAGTTTTAAGATAACAGAAGTATACATTTATAGTTTTAGTTTAAAATTAGTGGTAAAAATTCTAATTAAATCTGTCTATACTTAATTAAAAGGAAAGATTTTTTTTTCTCACAGATTTATC